TCGGTTGGTGTAACTCGCCTTCCAGGCTGGGGCCCAAGGGATGAGGATTGTCAATGGCTAGAGGCGCTGAGAGATATGGCTCAGAATAGATGTCACTGGCGCGATTGCTGCGCGGTTTGTTTGACGAAACCCCGTTCTTCATAACACAAAAGAATCTTCAAAAATTGTACGGTGAAACTATAAAAGTCATTCATTCATTCGTTCGTCGTGATCTCTGTTTTCCCCATTTACACTGAATCTTTCCGTACCCCTCCATAACTTTATTATCATAATTTTGCATTAGCACCATGTTTGTTCTCAAGCCGGTAATAATAATAATATAGGCCCCCATCAGGTTTTGATTTTGTTCAAAAGGTTTTAATTAATCACTTTGTACCTTTGGTTTGCTACTCATTGAATTACGTTCTTTACCATCCTGTTCATAGGGTATTCCCTTGGGCCTCGGCGCTGCGGTGCCATACATGCTACATTCTGATGCCAACACGGCAAGTTACAAGACACAGGCGACCTTTTCCATATCCAGTTGGCCGTTTTCACTCAAATTAGCATGGGCTCCACTAGTAGATTCACTCTACTTTTCACGTATCGGCCGCCGTAAGACGTGGCTCATCCCCGTACAGTACGCCATCGGTATCGATTTGCTGGTTTTGGCAAGTCATGTGGATCATTGGTTTGGACGAGACCCAAACAATCCATGGGGTCCAATGGGCGTGACCAATCCCGTGGATATTGCTCAGTTAACTGCCTCGTTCTTCGGTCTCACCATGCTGGCTGCCACACAGGATATTGCTGTGGATGGCTGGGCCTTGACAATGCTTTCAAAGTAAGCCATCTTATCCCCCCCTTCATTTTTTTACTATTACAGTTACCACAAGATCTGCCCTCGTCTTCGTCTAAGTACTCATCGTTAAAAAAAAAGAATTCACGGAAGATTCCCTTATAAATATCAAAAGCAAAACAGTATGGCGAACAAGAATTCTCTGCAGATGTGTGCCATTGTTTAGTTTACTCTAAATGGGTTTAAACTGTTAGCAATTCATAATGTTTCTAGCACATTCCTGCGTTGGATTTTCACCGTCGTTGACAATGCTTTGTTGCATGATTGTTTGAGTTTGGACTGTGCTACATAAGTCACGGTACAGCAATTGGTATCACAAAGAAAACAATCTGTGCATCGTACGTGGCAGAATACTGACCAAGTGAAAGCGAATAATCTAATCGAGGGATTCACAATCGAGCCTTCGACCAGCCAGAGGTTGACGTACAAGCGAGCGGAGCAGTGTGTGAAAACCGCAATTTGTTGGGGGGGGGGGNGAGAAACGCATGATTGTGGTTCATGCAGCACTTCTTCGTTTGTTTGGAATCAGGGATTTTCGTCAACTTCTCCAGGTTAGCTGGAGTGGTAGACCGACCTGGTTTTCGTTTAGGATGTTGGTTTATTCTCACCCGGGTGGAAAACTGTCACCTAAAGACAGTGAGTGGGGCCTCCCTAATAGTAGAGGCTATTCGAGAGGCTTAATCGTATAGGAACAATTCGCGGGGTGCAGTGGATCGAAAGCACACACTTCTGACCATACGGAGGGCGTATATCTGGTCAGATAAATATTTACGGCGAGCTGAGCGGTCCATTCGAAATTGCTAGTGGTTTTTCTCACGGACGTTCAATTTTGCCATTAACTTCGTTTGTCTGTTCAGTTTTTATAAGGGATGCATGTAGTGGTGCAGGTGCCAGTCCAAAACATTCTGATACTCTTTTTACATCGTCAAATTGCAATCAGGTACTCCGAGACTGTATGTCTACTCTGAAGCTTGACGGTTAGTTGACCAAAATAAATAGTTTCTACCTTGCACCAATAATACCGAAAATAGAGTGAAGGTGATGGCCGGCTTCTTCGAGACTCGAGTAGCTTACGCTGGATCGAAACATCTCACGCGTGAACGAAAGCTGTAAAGCCCGTCCGCAGTGCGAAATGTGTGAGCGCATAAAAATACATTTGGCCGATTATTTGATATTGCCGTTGCTTCTCAGATTCATCACTGCTCGTGTTCATGCACTGTTCCATCCTCCACGTCCTGTTTTCCAGGCGAAATTTGGGTTGGGCATCAACATGCAATACGGTTGGACAGACTGTGGGCTACGTGGTCGCATTCATTCTATTGCTCAGTCTCGAGTCTCCGGACATTGCTAATACGTATCTACGAAAAGTTCCCGTGGAAGGCAAGGGAATAATTACATTTTCCAGTAAGTTGAAATTCCCCCCATTTCATTGGCCGGTTTTACGAATTATTGGTTCTTTTATCCTCGACGTTTTCACGATATATGCGCTTGATTTACTCAAGCGAATTAATATCTGTTCCGGGACAGCATTTGTTCTTCTTTATCAGTTTCAGTTCGTACAACCATTAACCATGCACTTTTGTGCGCCGGTTTTCGTTGCCGTCTTTTGGCTACCCATTTGGATGAAGGATAGCAGAAAGACAGCGAAGTTAAAAGTAGAGTCGAACGGAAAATGGATAATTTCATTGGTCTAGGGTTGCAAAAACATTGAGAAGATGCACGAACGCCACTGTTTACGACTCCCAGCCATAGCACTCAGTGTCTCTAACCATTGATTACGCTGATCCCTAGGTCCCCAGCCAGGCAACCCAACAGGACCTGTGACCCAGACTCCTGGTTAGGGTTTTCATATCTTCATGCCAGGTCCTTGGTTAACCACCCTTGACTTTCTTCTTCACCCATTACTTGCCTCGATGAACATCGCTCGCCGTAGCAACCTACCTGGTGACATGCGTAACACATGCCCCAACCAACGTAATCTATGGAGATCGACTACTTGCTCTAGTGGGCAACCGCAATTACCTAAAACTCTACG